GTGGCAAAAGCGGAAGTCGTGAATATTGCGCAGCCCTGCCCTCGACACTTCGGAACTGCCAGCATGAAGGCTGATGCAAGCTCATTGTTTGGTGCAGTACGCCCTGAACCTGCTTCCACTCTTGAAGCAAACATTCCCAACCAAGTCACCATTACATGTTCCAGTGGAATAGCCACGGTAAGGGCAGAATCAACATTTCTCCGGGGGTAGCGGATCAGCAGTGCCACGCCTTCAGGCTTCAACCCGGTAATGTAGAAGCCCAACTGGGTTGGTCTTTGGGATATCTAGATATTTTCCATTACCGGCTTCCATACGAATATGTTTCGAAAGGCCCCAAGAGGCCAACCAAGCAATTGCGAGTATTGTCGTTCTTGGTTGCTTGTTTAGTTATAGTACAGGGCTCCTTAAAACAGACTTTAGCATGATGTCAGTGCTTTATGCGCGCCCCGTCATTGCTCCTAACCGGATGCAGGGTTTTGTTTTTTGGTCTGATCTGATTCTGGCATATATGCAGGCTACATGGATGATCGCAATGCCCTCAACCTAACCCTAACCCTTATTTCCCTGAACTAGGCTGCTGGGGTACGTAGCTATAGGGCAAATAGAACTCAGAACCCATGACTTAGGTAGCTGGAGCCCTAGGGCCTGAATGGTAATTACTCCTTAACCCCCTAAACTCTAAACCCATTTCCCATGGTCTCTTCGCTGTCCAAGAGATTAGGTCCTGCACTTGGACTTATCCTTTTACCCTAAACCCTAAAACCCTTTACCTCTGTAGCTATACCTGTAACCCCAAATACCTACAATTTTATGGTTTATACCTACGAATTATGGGTTAATTCCTACTAAGCTGTAGGTAATTGGGGTTACAGGTAACCCTAAACCCTATAAACCCTAAACCCCATAAACCTTATAAACCATGTAAACCCTAAACCCTAAACCCGGGGGAGGCTGAGGAGCCTCCTGCGCCCCCCGTCCGCCGGAGCTCTTCGGCCCCCGGGAGACCCCGTGATGAGCCGGTGGGCCAGGCTCGGGAGAGTGTTTTTGGGGGATTTAGGGTTTAGGATTTAGGGCTTAGGGTTTTTGGTTTAGGCTTTCTGGTTGAGGACTCAGGGTTTAGTGTTTAGGGTTTAGGGATTGTGGGGTGGTTGTGACTTTGGAAATTTTGGGATACTACAGTGTACGATAATCACGGAGAATGAAATTGCAAATTAAATGGAGCATAAAGCCAAAACTGGGATTCAGTTCGGGGCAGGTGGTAACTGGGGATACTATCGCCTCCGACATAGTGGAAGAATAAATCTTGGGTAC